CGTCACATTACCGTAACTTGCCGTAACTATAGCAAGTAATATAGTAAGTTACGGCTATAAGGCCGTAACTTATTATATTACTTACTATAGTTACGGCAAGTTACGGTAATGTGACGACTATCATTGGGACGATTCTACCACATTACTAGTCGACACATTCAACGTTATTAAATTTTTGTTTGAAAACTTGCCAACATGTTTGGTGTGCGAAATTTATGAAAAAGATTGTCAATAAATCTTGACAAGAAATACGAATAGATGCTAAATTTTAGAAAAGTTGGATTTGCCGACTGTTTAGAAAGTAACTCAAGATTCCAAAAAATCAAGATTTTAATCTTTGTTAAAAATGTGTTACGAAAGTTTTTTTTCGATACTTCGAATTTTTCCGAACTGATAAGCCTTCTAAAAATTTTCATTTGCCAACGATGCTTTAAAAGTAGATATGCGTATGTAGTCTTATAATATCTATATTAGTTACCTTAAATTTCAACTTATCGTTATCTACTATATCAATAACTTAACCGAATCGGCCGAAAACTCATCTGACTGGTTTTTATCAGGTGTCCCAAATTTATGAAACAACCGTAATATATGCTAGACATAAAAAAGCATAAAAAACCGAAGCATATCGCATTATACATTCTCGCTTAGATGTTACGTGATGTCGGTAAAATGGTGTCAATGAAATAAGATCCAATTTGGAAAACATATTGAGTCCAATACCGTGACCCGATCACGTGAAAAATACACGAAATGCACCAAGTTCAATTAATTACATTTGTGATCAGGAACAGTACTTCGGATGCAGAGGGGAAGATAGAAAATAAAGGGAAAATGTCAATACAAATTAAACATCCTTAAAAATATTAAGGAAAATAAATGTAAATAATTTTATATAGCTTATTCAATATTAAGTGTAAAGTCGCATTTGTAAGCGACGAAACTGGATCATATAAATAAAGGCCGAAATGGCCCTTAGGAGTGTTATGCTTCGTTTGCTTTATGAAATAATAAGTGCCAATCATATACACCGTCATAATAATACATTAACACTATGCCCAGCATAAACCCCATAACTTTATAAAAATCGTTGTTCGTTCAAGTTCTTGATCACGTGACTTACCTACCTGACCTTGCCGACCCAAGTAACCAAAAGCCTTAATCACCCACCAGCCAAGTCTAACACCCTCTTTTCGAAAGGTTACCTATCGTTGGTTACGCGAGATTTTGGATTGTGGAGCGACCGAGTCGCAGTTTTCCGAAAGCGCACAATATAGTATAATGAAAGAGATTGTAAATCGTTAATTGAGTTAAGGAGTCGGGGATAACCTATTATATAATACTGTAGGCAGATATGAACAACCTCATTTAAACTTAAATGAATCTTTAAAGACTGACCAAAATAACGCAAAAGCATTAAAAAGTCGTGGAGAAACTTATCGATTGATGAAGAATCACTCGCAGATTTAAGCAACCTATTAGTGTTGGATTCAAATGGTGTAGAACATTAACATCGAATGCTAAGGAAATATAAAAATGACTTGGAGATCTAAATAAATCATTAGCAGTTGATCCGAATAATGCATTTGCATTAAGAAGAGTAACGCAACATATCGAATGAATATGACCGTATTTTCGTGTTAGAAACGTCGATGTTACATGACTGATACTTCACCCGGTGTGCAACATATAAAAAAAAACTATGTTACAATACCAGATCATTTCGCTAGTACATGTTATGATTATAATAATAAAATGGTGTGGAATCAGTGTATAAAATCTAAATTACAAAATATGTGCACAGGTTAAAATTTTACGATAAATCAATTGCAGGAAATTAGTGGTTATTAATGATCAAATTTCACATAATTTTGCAAACCGCAATAAAACGACGCGGAAAAACCTGTCGCATGCTGTATTTATATCAAAAATCGCTTACAGATTTAAATAAATAATTTAAAATTGAACCAAATAATCCATTTTCATTGAGCGAACAAGAAAAAGCTTGTATAGGTCATAAATAAAAACTTATCGAACCCAACTGAATAATCATCGATCAATCTTCATTATTTGCTCCAGAATTAATGACAACTGTAGGTGTTTCTTTACTAAGCTGCATATGATGATAATTGACTTAGTCGTCTAAGTTTAATTAAAATTATCGACTCGACTAAGTTTATAAAAATTCTCTACTTTGACTAATTAATACATACATTCCAGGAGGTGCTATATCCCTTAACCGGTTTTGCGGCAAATTTGCTTACAAATTTCATGGTTGATTTGTAATCAAGCTACCAAATTATATTACTGCAGGATGAAACCGCGATATAAATCTGCGAAAGTGGTTATGTTAGTAACCAATCTATCACTATCCCTAATTAAGTAAGATCTGCAACAAACTACGTCACCTTTCATACGTATAATAATTATTATTAGAAAAATATTACGAATTTAAAAGCAATGCTCATACGTACTACGTATAAACATAATATATATTATGCTAAACGGATAACAACCAATGAGTATCATTTGTTTGTTCACAAAAATGAATACGTAATACAATCTAAACACTGCATATGAAAATTTAGCCTCAAACCATACCCAATAAGCAATTTCTTTCAAATACATTTTGATTATTGTTTGTCCTATAAATTTTTCTCATAAAATCTCTAGAAAAGAATCTTAAACTTTTTTTCATTTTTTAAAAAAAGCCAAAAAAAAAAAAAATGCTACCACTTTATCTTTTGTTGGCGTGTCTTGCGTTGTATTATATCTTCAAAAAATCAAATACACCACGTGGTTTAAAGAAACTTCCTTCTCCGCCGGGTAGCCAATTTTATTTTGGTTAGTGTAAAATAGGATTGCCATTGTCAATCGCAAATCTGAAAATATTTTGCAAAATAAGATTTTAGTTCAAATAGCAAAAAATTTATGATATTGTCTTGTTAAGAAATAATACTAAGTATAAACTTGGGAATGTTTATAATGGGTGAAAGTATTAGCAAAAAAAAAACAAGTTTGAGCAAATTACACGAACTTAAATTGCTTTAGGATGAAAAAAATATTCAAAAAAATATTTGTTTTTTTTTGTAGGCCATATTTTCCAAATTGGACGCGAACCACATAAAACGTAAGAGAAACAAAATAATATTAATTTATATAAAAATTAATTGATTGTTAATCAAAATAGATTTACAGAATGGGCGAGAAGTTTAGGCGATATTTATGGTATAAATATGGGTCAACAATATTGGATTATATTAACTAGTGATAAGGTCGTTGGTGAACTTTTACAAAAACGTAAGTTTTCACACTAATTCATTACAAGCTAATGGTTTAGTTGATAAGTAAATAAAAAATTTTAATAATAGGTGGCGGAAAATATTCTACTCGTATAAAAAGTTATTATACTTATGATTTATTGACTAGAGGAAAAAGTTATGTTAGTTGTCCATATAATGAAAGGTTTAAGATGCTTACTCCTATTAGTAAGTAATTGAGCATACATATTGTGTTTTATTTATTTATTTTTTATGTGAATTATCCGTTATCATAAAATCTATTTAAAAATAGTGCATGGAGCTTTGGGTCAACGTACTGTAAGAGAAAACTCTAAATTACTCGATGACGAATTTCGTATACTTATGCAAAACCTTTGTAAAGATTCGACCAACGCGAAAGATGGTTTTTATCCTAAATATCATTTCCAACTCGCAAGTTTAAACGTTATAACCCTCTTATGTTTAAACAAGCGCACAGAAAGTGTCAATGACCCATTTTATACAAATTTTGAAACTATAGTGGAAGAACATTTGGAAGCCGCTAAAATAACAAATAAATTATCTGAATTTTTTCCCATATTGAAATTTGTTCCAAATCATAGTTTACGTAATAAAATAATAGAAAGTAGAATAAAAATGGAAGCATTTCTCGGAAAATTGATCAAAGAAGTTGAGGATGATGAAGAGAAAAAGCCTTGTATTATTAGAACTTTACTTAATAAGAAAGACGAAGGAATTCTTGATGAACTAGATGTTGTTTTTTTATTGGATAATATATTTTCAGCTGGAACAGTAAGTAGTCCAATAGCCTTTTTTGCTTACATAAGCTTTAAATTGACTAATATTTAAATTTTAGGATACAATTTCTGCGAGTTTAACATGGATCGTGGCTGCTTTAGCTAATAATCCAGAAGTTCAATCTAAAGCACATCAAGAGCTTGATCAAGTAATCGGTCATTCTCGTTTACCAGAAGTTTCTGATGAACCAAATATTCCTTATATACGTGCTATGATTAAAGAAGGTCAAAGATATTGTGCACCAATTTATCTTGGTATACCGCATGGCATTGAAGAAGATGACGAATATAACGGATATCATATTCCAGCAAACTCCGTTGTGATTTTAAATCAGTATGGAATTCATATGGATGAAAAAAGATATAAAAATCCTAAAGAGTTTAAACCTGAAAGATTTTTAGGAGTTACAGAAAGTAGTGCAGCCTTAGCAAATGGAAATTATGAAAATAGAGATCATTTCAGTTTTGGAGCTGGGAGAAGGCTTTGCACTGGAATTCATATGGTATACAAAATTTATTTTAGAATTATAATTAAATTATTCATTAAATTTTTTTTTTAATTCTCTATAAATCTTTAAAATAGGCTGAGAGAGAACTTTTATTAGGAGTCTCTTTTCTTTTATGGTGTTTTAAAATAGAAAATGCATCACCATTAGGTGAGGATGGTAAACCGATACCAATTGATTTAGAAAAAATACGCTTTGGTATTACTGTTTGGCCCGAAGATTATCACGTTAGATTTGTAAAAAGACATGATAATGTTGAAAAGGTTTTATTTGGTCTAAGCCAAATCTAGATACTGTATAAACATTTAGGATCTCTTACAGTATAGGTGACACTCACTTTAAATAAATTATTAATACATTTTATTAATGGTGTTAGTGTTATTGTGATGCTTAAACTTAATGTATGATTGTGTTTATATTTTTATGAATATTATAATATAGGTTGTATTATTACTTCTGATACATTAAATAAATTAAAAGGCTTATTAATAATTTCAAATCTAATAAATGTTATTTTAAATTATACTTTAGAATTATATATACTATTATCTTAAGTTTTAAAAATAAAATTATTATATATTAATTAAATATTTTTTCTTATCAATTTATAAATTTTATTATACAAACTATATTTTGTTTATTAAGTAAAAATGTTTTTTATATTATTTTATATGCAGGCAGACTTTGATATAATCATCAGTTTGGTAACTAAAATGCAATGTAATTAAGATAATAGTGTCTATATAGAAGTTAATTTTCTTATGCTTTATAATAGTTGGTAAAACTAAAATAGAATTATTTTTATATTTTGTAATTAGTAATTATATCAAGGTTTGATTATTAAAATAAAGTTTTTTTTAAAATTTTTTAAATATTTATCAGAATAATTTATAAATAAGTACTTGTAAATATAAAAATTATAATAATTTTTATATAAAATATATTTATATAACAAGTTTATAAAATTAATAATTGAGAATGTTAATTCTAGTATAGTGGTTGGGTTATCATCTTTTAAGTAACAGGTCTAAAGTTCAAATCTCATCTATAACAAAATTTGAAAATTAATTTGTATTATAATAACTGTATTTTATTAATTAATTGGATTGAAGAGATGATCTGTAAACTTAAAGGTATTATTTCATATAAAAGCTCAGAGTATCTATGTAAAGTATAATATTATATATATATAGAGAAATGTTAATAATTGATGTCATATAAGATTTAGATACAAACTTATAATAAGACTACTAAATGCATAACACTAAGAAACTAAAGCACAAAAACCTATTTGGAAATCCTGAGTAAAAAGGTAGCATGAACTTTCAATAATACTACAGGACCAATAGAAGCCTCAGAAGGAATAACTAAAATAAATTAAATGACAACATATGTAAGGCAGCATATACCAACCAAGCTACTGAGTTTATTAAAAAAAAAAACCTAAGATATCATATCAGGTCATCTAGATTAGTAGTTTGAAAAGTCTTATAAGTTCAAAAGAATAATTAAAATAAATCAAATGACAATATATGTAAAGAAGCATATACCAACCTGGTTGCTAGGTTTATTAGAAAAAAAGAAATCTAGAATACTCACTGGACCATCTGGATTAAAAGTTTGGAAAATCTTATAGGTTCAGAGTAAGGAATAAAAGTTAAAAAGAAAGGTAATAAACTTTACAAGAGTAGAAATAGTATAACATAATAGTTAAACAGATAACTCTTATGACTGCAAGTGTTAGATAACTATAGCATGTTGCATAAAACTATATAGAACATAAAGGCTTTAGTAAGTTTACTCTTAAGAATAAATTAGTCCTAAGAGTATTAATAAACATCAGAAACTTAGATGAGCAGTATTTTGAAGATATTTTTGTAATATAAGATAAATTGTATATGCAAAAGGTTTAAATAAGCAAGACCTCTAGCTGACTTGCAAGTATGACATTTAGTATAAAACTTATATAGTAATGTATAAGTAAACTACTTAAATTAGACATTAAAAGTGCATATGTGACTAGTTGTAACCTTTAATGAAAAGGAGCTTCTAAAGATATTTATGTTCTATAAACTTGAATAAAAATTGCTCTTTCAAGACAGAACTAAAAAAATAATAATTAATAATTAATAAGATAGATATGCCTAATTCAATGCAGTTAATTTGTTAATAGTAAACTTTTCAAAAATTATCAATAAATATCAAACTTTTTACTAAATATACTACAATATATTTTAAAAATAATATTTTATTTAAAAAAAAAACAATTTAAAAAAAATTAAATCTTATTTTATTTAAAAAATTTTTTTGAAAATCTTAACTATCAAAAAATTATCCTAAATTAGTGAACCAGAGTAATTTTAAATTTTTTTTTATCTTGATAGCTTAGTGTTTTTAAGATATTGCTTTTTCTCCTTAATTTATTTATTTTAAATTTTTTTTATTTTTGTATATCTTATTTTTGTACTTTCTTTGCCTTATATATTATTTATTTTTAGTTAATTACTTTTTTTTTATATTGCTTTTTTAAAGTTGTTTTTCTATTTTCTTCATTATTTTTTTTATCTACTGTAGTAGCTTTTTATTTGTAAAAAATTAGGAAAAAGACATTATTTATTTTTTTTTTATACATGTAATTAGAATTTATCTTGTTCACCTTTCAGATTTTTAGCTAGTTATTAGTTACAATATAAAAAATACTTAAAGATTAGATGCAAAAGGCTTGAACCAAAATATTTGTAGATTTCAAGTTCTTTTTGTAAGAGCCCAATTTTTTTATTTAGAAATTCAATCTCTAATATTAACTTATTTTTTGTAAAATTTGGTTTAATAAAACAAAAGTAAAGAAGACAAAAATAAAGAAGTTAAGGTAATGAAGATAAAAATAAAAAAAGTAAGGATAAAAAAGTCAAGAATAAAAAAGCAAAAATAAAGAAGATGAAAATAAAAAAGGTAAAGATGAATAAGTTAGTTGTTCAAGAATTTGTAGAAGATTAATTTATTTTGTAATCAATAAAGAGTTAAAATAATTTAAACTAATATTATTTAGATTAAATAGTTATATATCTATAGTTTTAAAGATGTTATATATTGTAGTAAGTGTATAAGTTACAATATAGCTGATCCTAAAACTTTAATAAATATGTATTTAGTCACAAACTTATGATTATTTTAATCTAAAACTTATTATACTTTTTATTATACAATTTTTTTAAAATAACAAATAGTAATAGTAATTTAGTTGGCTATAAAATATAAATTGTATAAGAGAAGTATATAAAGAATTATATTGTTCTTATAACAAAAATTAACATTAGTATAATTAATATAGCTTTTATAACTATCTAGAATTAACAAAACTAGATATATAAAAAAAATAAAATTAATAAAATGTTTAATATATTTCTAAAATAAATACTTCTATATATATTCTGACTTGGTAAATCTTATAACAGAGTTAGCAAAAATGCTATTTAAAAAACTTGAGATAATTTATTTTTCTTTAAAAATAAGCAATAAAAAAATATATATTCTAACAGCTAAGATAGTTGAACATACAGAAATATGTTTATGTAAGCTCTATATAAAATCCAATAAATTTGATATTTTTTTTCTTAACTAAATCTTTGAAGCCTAAGTTTAATAATAAAACCTGTTTTATTTTTAAAAAAAAATAAAATAAAAAAAAACTAAAAAAATAAAAAAAAATAAAATAAAAAAAAATAAAAGAAAAAAAAGTAAAAATAAATGTATTATGTTTTAAATATAATTAAAAGTGAGTATTCTTAAATAATCTTTTAAAACTTATTAAAATAATATTTAATAATAATAAAATTAGTCTTTTGTGCATAAACTTTATTTAAGACTTGAATAATATAAAATAAAAGCTCTGAGTAGTTGTAGTTCTTCATAAAGTACTATTACTATTTTTGATTTGAGCTATTTTTGTTAAAAAAATAAAGTTATTTATCTCAACTAACAATATTTATCATATATTAGTTTACACTAATTTTGTTAATCTTAAACCAAGTTTTTGCATATTAAGACAGTAATCAATAAGCTGTTCCTTTTTATAATCTGTTAAAACCTAGTTATAACTTAATAAATAGGACTATTATTTTTGATAATATGTCTAAGAATAGATTTGTAATACCATAATAATATACAATACTTTTTGTACTTGGAATTTTAGAGTTGTTTAAAGAACTTTTAATTGCCTTAAGAACATTGATAATAATATTGTGTCTAGTTTTTGATTATTATTTTTGACATAGTTTTTTTTTAATTAAAAAATTTTTTTTGAAAATATAGTAATTTGTTCTTTGTTATATAGCAGTATTAATATTTTTTATTATATGTAGTTTATTATATTATATATGACAACATACTTAGATTATATGTAATATTACATTAAATATTTAAGAATTATTTATTTAAACTAATAAGTTAATTGTTTAAATAATGCAATTTTTTATTTATATGAATTATGTTTAATTAACTAAACTTTAAGTTTTATATATATTATAGTTTATACAAATATTATTAAATTTAAAATGCATAAGATACAATTTTGATAAAAATTACAACTAAATAGTATTTGAAAGATAATTCAAATTAGAACTATATCTACTAAGTTAACCTTTTTCTTTACTAAATCTTTATATATAAGAAAAATTATTTTTTAATATTAATAGTAAGGTCATGTTTCTATCTTTATTGAATATTTAACTGAGATTTTTACCTGAAGTTTAAATTTACTTTTAAAATATTATAGCAAGAATAGAAACTCAAACTAATTTATCTGCAATCTAAACCAACTGGAGTAGCCAAGGCTCATCTAGATTTGGGTGTTAGTAATAATATATAAGAGATTAGTAATAATATATAAGAGATTAGTTTGATATTTAATCTATTATATATATCAAGAATTAATCTTAGAGCTAATAGTATTAAAAGAAGAAGTTTGCACTAGTTGTGAAATAGAATTGAAAGATAAATTAGAAATAGGAAGATGAATTGTAGATCTTGAAATACAGTAAGAAATCCAAATTTTGTGATAAATTTGTTGATTAAGATGAAGTAGAAATTTAGTAATAAGTGTTATAGATATTTTTTGTAGATAATAAGTTTGCAACTATAGTAATAATTTTATTTGATACTAAGCCTGATAGAGTTGAAAAAATTGAAGGTAGGTCTGGTATACTGTAAGTGGATATACAATTTAGTTGTTTAATTTAATGATATATATTAGTTATAATTTTTGAAGTAGCATTAAGAGTAGTAATATTAA